AGAAATGACTTGTCCAATATTATGCCCTATGTTTTTGCCTATTCATATATATTTTTTAAAAGCAATACTATTCTATATCACCAAGTCCCAAAATATAATGAATTCAGTTGATTCTTAATTCATTCAGTGTTTGCTAACATCAGAAGTGAAAATGCCCCAGATAGGCATTGTTATAAATTACCGTGAATGAAAATTTCTGGAATATCAAAAATAAAGTGGAGAATTGGGAAAAGTGATTCGTTCCGCCCTGAATAATGATTATATAAATATATAGATATATATCTCTTTCCCTATACTCTTGAAATCTGTGGAAGCCACAACTCAAATTGACTCATCAAATGCCACAGAGACTGTGAGCAGAAATATTTTGAAAAATATTACCTGAGGGGCTTTGCTCTGAGCCCAATTATGGGCAGGCAGGCTTGGTCTATGCCTTCCCAATATATTCCAAGGATTTATGGCAGCACAGTGGTTTAAAATATCAGCAAATTGGGAACTACAGATGTCCTATTAATTAAAAAAAATATGACAGAAATTCTTATATAAAAGTTATCACCATTATCTGCATGAGTATTTATTTTGGAGGGATTAAGTTAATTTTTAATCTCAGGATTATAGTTTCACTAAATAGTAAACATATTCCAGGAGCCGTTAATTTCATCAGTTCCTTGAAATATAAACCAACACAAATTCATATAAAACAAATTAAAAATTGAGGCATATTTGAAAATTAAACATGAAAAATTGTTTCTGCACTATTATCTGCATGAGTATTTATTTTGGAGGGATTAAGTTAATTTTTAATCTCAGGATTATAGTTTCACTAAATAGTAAACATATTCCAGGAGCCGTTAATTTCATCAGTTCCTTGAAATATAAACCAACACAAATTCATATAAAACAAATTAAAAATTGAGGCATATTTGAAAATTAAACATGAAAAATTGTTTCTGCACTCTAAAGAATTGTTCATGTAGGTTGTTTTCCTTGTATCGAGTCACTTTATATATTGTTAGGATTATTCCAAAAACCTTATCCCTGTTGGTTATGTGACCTTGTTTCCTTCATCGGATGAATCAATATGGGAGAAGTCTAAGTAATGAGATTGATTTTGCTGGTTGAGTCACCAAAGGACAAGAGGTGATCAATAAATACGGTGAATGTTTAACTTAAAATACTTAATATAGTAAAAGACACATGGACAGGAAGGATGGAATGTGTTTGAAGGAAAGGGGAGGACTTTGGGAGTGGCTAATTGCTGTAAACTTTTTTTAAAAATTTCAGCATTCACCACATATTTTGATCACTTTTTGTTTATCAAATGTTTACAGAAATTTCCGTAAATAAAAACATTACAGTGTGTCACCATCTACGTCATTCATAGGATCTGGCACTGTGTGACTTCTGGCTTTTCACTAAAGTAAAAATGACCGTGAGGGGTAAACATTTTGAAAGAGTTCAGGGCACGAAGACAGCCTGAACACACAACTAGACACTCAGGGAAGAAATTTCCACAGCTGTTTCAGGAAGTGTGAAGAGTGACGGGCTCAGTGTGTCCCGAGAAATGAGGAATATTTTGAGGGGACTAAATGGCAGTGTCCTTTACTGTAATAAATTTTTAAAAAATTTAAACATTCACTGTGCACTTTGATCACAACTTATAGTATCATAATAAATTTTAGGCCAACTTCTCATTTTCATTGTCCATTTCTTTCGCAACTGAATGCTGGAAATTCTTTTTTATCTTCTTAGTTTTTGGCGCTGGGGGTCAAACTGATCAGTTTGCTAGGCAAGTGTTCTATAGTTGAATTTTAATCCCTAAATGCTGAATACCTGCTATCCTTTTGTTATTCTCAACTCTTCTCAATTTAGCCTACTTTGGTATTCTCTAAAACTAAAAGTGAAGCGAGACAGGATTTACAGTGCTCCCCCAACAGTCCCCTAGCTCAGGCCTCCTTCAGGCTTCAATCTTTCTTTTCTCTGAATTTCTATTTTTCCAGGCAGGGCTATCTGCCTGGGTTTTATCAAGGAAGCTTGAGGGTGAGGGACATTTTAATTTCTTAAGGAAATTTGCTTTTCTGGCTGGACCTTTAAACTAATGCTTAACAGATTTTACGTAATAGGAAACCTTGAAAATGACTATATGGCCCACACAGAAGCATAGAAAAGGCTTCAGTTCATCTTGCACGGGTCCTATGAGTACTGCTCTAGGCCCAACCCTGCTACCCTAAGGAGCAAACAACTCAGGGAGACCTACAACCGCTTCCAGTCACTTTCTTTTTCCCACCGTTGGGAAGCTGTTAATTTAAAAACGTTACCTATCTCTGGGTATAGAAATGGACGTCCTCTTGGAATATATATATAATACATATCCTACTATATCCCCTCTCTCTCTCTGTCTCTCTCTCTCTCTCTCTATATATATAAAATTTAACTGTGATATAGAAATTCAGATAGCTGTTCATACTTATGTTTTTTTTTTTTTTTAAAGATTTCCATGCTACCTGCCAGCTGGATACAACTGGAGTGAAGGACTTCTTGAAATTTACTTTTCCTGCTGAAATTTTGTTCTTAAGATGCCAAGGTGCTTTTGTGTAAACAAGATATAGTTGTGTATGCCAGGCTCTGGACGTATAGTTAGTGGTGGACAAGAATTGGTTTCTGCTCTCCACTGCAATCCCAGCACACTGTACGGCTGAGGTGAGAGGATTCCAAGTTCAAACCCAGCCTGGGCAATTCAGCAATTTAGGGGAGAGGGTCAGATTAATGGCTTTTGTTCCGAATTTAATAGATTTTCCAATTTGGTGTGATTACATTAAATCCAAATATACAGTGCTTTCTTCAACCTTTAGGATAGACAAATTCAGTTTATCATCATGGGGGGGGTTAAAGTTTCCTCTCTTATCGTGGCTTGAGCTGATCTTTTAGATCTGTTTAAATATAATGGAGACTTCCCCCATTAACTCACCTAAATGCCCACCATTCTCCCTTAGTCCTTGTCAGTCCTTCTTAGCACTTTCTATACATTTGCTTACTTCTTTTGGGACTGCGCTCATTTAGTGTGTAATATTCTGAACAGCAGGCTTCACGCACATCCAACTTGGCAGATTTATCTCAGGTACCTGGCATACAGCCTGACACAAACATATCTGTATGTGCTGAACGAATGAAGGCAACCTTTTGTGAAAGGCATCTATTTGAAAGCATTTTTAGAAATGTGTTTTTCAGTTCATTTTATATAGAAACCTGTAGAAATCTGAGCCTCACTAGGTAGCACTTTATATAAACTTTCCTTTTGTGCTATGTGGCGGTCTGAATCCCCGGAATTAAAACCCCACAGTAACACATTACCCACATTTGCCTGTTTCTTACTCATTTAAAAACTTTATCCCTCCCCCCATTCGAAGCCCAGCAGTGTGGGCCTAATCGATGAGTCTGGGACTGGAAAAGAAAAGTGTTAAGGTGTTCCAGTTTCAAGCTTGCTTCCTGTGATCCAAAGTTAAGACAAACTCGACCCGTATTTCGCCCGAGTTTGTTCCTTAAAGGCGAGCTCTTCTCCAGCCGATGCAGCCTTATTGGACGGCTGCCCTCCGTCCTGGACACAGCCTTGGGGGGTCCCGGTTCGGCTCAGGTTCTTCTCTGATTGTTCCGCACGCCTCGGCGAGCTTGCTTGCGCGGCACAGCACTCGGAGGTGCGCCTTTGGGGCGTAACCGGGCCGTTTAAACCAGCGAATCGCCGTTCCCGGGCGCTCGCACCTCGGCCGAGCCTGCCCTCCCAGCTCCTCTCCTGAGTTGTTTCTTTCCGGGGGGCCGAGGCTGCAGGGGTCGGGAACTCTGAGGGGGTCCCGGGGCGGAGCGCCGGGCGCAGCTGGAGCGCGCGGGTTGAGCCTGAATCAGACAAGAATCTGATATTTTCCAGATGGAAAAGTCACCCAGTGTTTGGCTGAAGAACTCCTTTCATGGGGAACTATTCAAGGCAGGTGTACTACAGCCCAAGCCCTGCTGGAAACGCTCAGCAGAGTTCAGAGATCTGCTTTCTTTCCCCTGGACCATCCCACCTGCCACTGTCAAAACAGTCCAGCTGGCCAGGCCAAGCCCTGTCCCTCTTCATGGAGAGGGCTCACGGGGG